AATAAAAAGTTATGGGGGGAAAAGAGAAGAACAATTAAAAAGGCAATCAGCTTGAAATCCACATGACACCATGAGAGTGGTGTCATGAAAAAAGAATACTCTCAAGCAGAGCCTGTGAGAGTATACACTGTGGCAGTACAACTGGAGCACAATGTGGCAATGTCCATCAGATTTTTTAAAAAATCATCTGTCTAGTGAAACTTACTCCTAGAAAACGGTCCTGAAGATACACTTCTCCGCATGGAAAATGACATATACACTAAGTTATTCTTTACAGCATTGTATGTGATAGCAAAAGGCTGGAAATAACCTGTATGTGTATCAGTCCAGACTGGTTTAACAAATTATAGCACTTACAATAAATCAGCATGCATCTTTTAAAATATCCCTTCAAAAATTATGGGAGCTCTTTGGGAACTGATATGAAAGATAACCATGTCATGTTTTACATTTAAAAAAATTCAAGGTGCAGAAGAATATGTACAGCACACACACACATACATATGAAAGCTACACAAAAATATGGCTGAATAGCGGGAGCCAGAGGGAATGGGAGACCTGCAGACTTTCTTTTTAAATGTCTACTCCTTTTTGTACTTTATGAATTTTGTAGCATACACTCATACAATGTATCCTAAAAACCTTTTTGTTAAGTACTGATTTACTGTAGCTATAATGAACTCTTCATATCTCCATGCTTTCATTACCAAAACCATGCATTTCAGATCACCTGGGAATTAGGGCCTGAAGTCAGTGCATAAGGTGAAAATAGCATTCAGTAAACATCTGCCTTACAAATCCCTTAAATACATGCCACACTAGATTGACACACCATCTCAATAATTCCAACACAGCTAATTTTCACTCCACTTGAACAGTTCACTGTTTCTTCAGCTGACTAGTATACAAAATAGCTGGCTTGTCCTTAGGTCTCATCTTGTGATATTAAAAATGTGTCTTTTAAATACAATAATCACACTCATCACAGCTAGATGAAAGCAGTCAGGAATTGAGATAGGCTGAGAGAAGAGCAAATTTTAATTTCTCATGTCACACTTTATCCAGAACCTTCACTGTTTAGGTTATTTTCCCCTTGTTTTGGTCACCAGATGCATGGAACTTAATTTGCATAAATGTCCGTAAGATACATAGTGACAACCCAGAGTTTTAAAAAAACACATTTCAAGAACTGTTCCTCCATTAAACAAGCCATATAGTAAAAAAAAGAAAATCATAACCCAAACATAATAGGCTAATTTACAGACTGGGAATATACTATAATGGAATATCCAGGTTCAGATGAAAAGGAGAGTGGTAACAATGCTTGATCAATATCACATATGATCTCATAAGGTCATGTAAACTTAGTTATAGTCCATTTCTTTGTTAGCATTCCCAAACACTGATACATAGATTCCTCAATCTACACTCTGAGAAATCTTATAACTCTACTGAGTAAAGTGAGCTACCACTGAAGCAAAATAAAAATTCCCAAATCTTTCTCTCTCCCTGCTTTCTCTGATGCTCATATTCCCACTAGATACTTCTCTTGGAGGACTCACAATACACAACTCAACTTCATTATAAATTAAATTCATTATTTTTCCTGCACCTCTCCCATGCCCTCTATGCCCTTCTTCTAATATTCCTTATCCTGGAAAAGATAGTAAACATCCATCCTGGTGCCCAAGGCAAAAATCTAAAAATTCATACTATAGTCCATCCATCACCTACTCCAATAACCAATCCCCAAGTTCTGTAGATCCTACCACCTACATCTTTTTTAAGTCCACCCCACCTTCATCATGCCCATTGTCAATGCTTTGGTTTGCCTTCCTCATTGCTCACTTGAACTAACTGGTCTCCCTGCCTTCAGTCTCTTTAATCCATCTTGCACACACCTGAAAAGTTAACTTCCTAAAATACAAATTTGGTTATGTTACTCTTTCTTCTTTCAGAGCAGAAAAACAAGAGCAAGTCTCAAAGTAATGCTACAGCAAGCTTAAAACAAGCTCATTTAATAACACGATAAAATGCAAAGAGAATGTACCACCTAGCTTATTTTTTATGAGTATGTTATTATTCCACCCCACACTATATGACCAAATTAAATAAGCTAATACATTGTTTTGGTCAAAAGAGGCTACAGGGAAGCAAAAAAACTAACTGCCTTCTTAGAGTCAAAAATGAATACAAACTGGATCATAGCAGTGATAAAGGCATTTATTTCCTTCAGTTTTCTGAAGGGAAACGAAGGGCTTCCCAGACCTATAAAGTCAAGAGTGCATTCAAGCTGAATGTACTAACCTGTCTAAAAATGAGTGCCTTAATCAGAAAATATTTTGGGAAGTTAAAAGGAGAGAAGTTGAAGGAAAAGGTTCTGCCATAGGGAAAAACCATCCATCCCTAACGTAAGCTGAATGACGTTGTCTTAGTCCCAGTCCAGCAAATATCTCACTTTTCTGGTTGAGTCCATGCAAACTAACCCAGTGACTATGTTCTGACCTGGTAGGTCAAGTCAAAAACACATAAAAACAATAAAACAGGCATTTGGCTTGAGCCTTCAGTTCCCCCTAATTCTGTTTCTTATTTGAAAAACTTAAACTGGTATATTAATTAGGAACTAGTAAGCAAACCTACCTATCAAAAAAGTTTACATCAATCATACCAACATGCACATACCATTATAAACTAGTAAACTGGAATTCTGGCTTTACACATCAGTCTTGCACATCTGGTTAATACTGGTCCATATCTGAGATAAGGAGTTGCTTTGAGCATGCTGACCAGATCAGATTTCTCAGGGTTTTAAACCAATGAACAGACCCAGGATGAAGGTAAATTCTAAAACTGTGTATGTGGCTATTTAAATTAAATAAAATTTAAAATTCAGGTCCTCAGTTACAGAGCCACATTTCAAAACAGCCACATGTGACTAGTGGCTACCATATTGAACAGCACAGATACTGAACATTTTCATTACCATAAAAAGTTCTACTGAACAGCACTATTCTGGAAGATAGCCTCCAACAAACCCTACTGTGAGTCCCCTTGGGAAAACAGCCCGACAGTCTTGGATGGCTAACACGGAACTGAGATCTAGACTATTTTCTTTTCTTTTTTTTTTTTAAAGATTTATTTATTTATTTGAGAGAGCGAGAGAGAGAGAGTGAGTACATGAGAGAGGGGAGGGTCAGAGGGAGAAGCAGGCTCCCCGCTGAGCAGGGAGCCAGATGCGGGACTCAATCCCGGGACTCCAGGATCATAACCTGAGCCAAAGGCAGTCACTTAACCAACTGAGCCACCCAGGTGCCCCTAGACTATTTTCTACCAAAGGTCAGAAGTAGATACTCGACACAACAATTGTTTCCTTTTTCTTTACAGTGATTTCAGTTTTAGCCCTCAGGATTTCCACCCCTCTTTTTATCACTGGATGACACTCGATACTAGAGACAATATAGTACAGACTTTAGAAGCTGGACTTTTTCTAGAAGTCTCTGAAGCTAGACTGCCTGGATTCATACCTCATCTTTGTCTCTTCCTAGACATGCGACCTTGGACCTGTTATTTAATTACTCTATCATTCAGTTTCCTCATCAGTAAAGAAATAATGGTACCTACCTCATTGAGTTACTATGAATATAAAAGTTTATACATATGCAGTGCTTATAATTGTGCCCACAAAGTGTTAACTGCTATTACTTCTACCACCACCACCACCCTCACAGCTCTTCAGATGACAAGTGTGGAAAATGCTCACTTAGGAGAAACATTCGCAAATATAAAGGAATTAAACTACAAGAAGGATCACAAAGCCAGGGTATCAGTCTATGATAAAAAGACATTTTTTTAAGATTAAAGGAAATGGATAATCTGGAGAGTATATTAAATACCAAAAAAAGTCATGTTTTCAAGAGAGTTGCTGGACAATGTCTTACTTGTAAGGCTAACAAACCACAGATCGAAAGAAGTCCACATAATAAACTACTGAGCTATTTAAATAACCAACAAAAACTAAGGAGGAACTGAGAAGATACAGGTTCGAGTTCACTAGAGCAAGTGATACTTCCCTGTATAAACCATGTTTTGACATTTAAATGCATTGCCTCTCTTATACTTCCTAAGTTACCTTTATGTTCTGACTTGATGAACTGACTGAAGATCTAATTTCTTCACCAAGCAGAAAGAGCACCAGATATAAAAATACCATGCCAAACAATGATCTATCATGTGTCTTCCTGGTGGAAACCCATCATAGAAAACCACACCTTGCTCTTGCAGATGGGCAATTTGAAAATCCAGAAGCTGAAGTACAAATTTCAGCAAATGCAGTCACATGGAGAGAGCCGCAACTTTGGAAACATAAAGAATCAAGCCTAAAGCTTGGCTTTGCCATTTACTGGCTGTATGACCCCAGGCAACTTGCACTTACTTAATGCTTATGAGCTTCATTTCACTAACTATAAAATATAAGGTAAAGCATGTGCCAACTGAGTAAGAAATTATGTAAAGAGCCTCTAACAGTGCCTGGCACTTAACAGATGCTCAATAAACAGTTGCTACAGTAAGTAAATCTTCCTGAGAAGGCCCTCCAAGAGTCCCAAGAATAAAACACCACTACTTTACATGGTAACTACAAAAACTATTTTGACCAGGTATTAGCTATTAAATCATGAGATAATACCTTAAAATTATCACCTATTGTCCATATTTTACAAGCTATTCCCCAAACAAATTTCCCTTGTTTACTGTATTTCCTGTTTGACTGTAACTATAAACCAATTGGGCCTACAATAAAAATAACTGCACTTCTTACACTAAAACAAAGTGTCTACTAGCAATTCTTCCACAGACACCTTCACTAATCCATCCCAAACATGAACACTATATCTAAATATCTAACATTTCTTCCTTTCTCTATCAATAGAAAAAAGTAAAGAAATTTTAAGTTTCTTTGAGTTGAGTTCCACATAACAAAACAATACAGGGTAATTGCTTACCTGGACAATATTTTGTACTTCAGATCCACCAATCCAGAATGAATGGGGGTATTCCCTTTCAGACTAGTCTGAGAAAAGACAGCAGTCAAGCAGCTTCCAAGATTCTTTCCGTTTACTGTATCCAGCTTTCTTCAATAAAATCCCAAACATGCACTTCGGTAACTGTTGAAAGACAGAAAGCAATCCATACACCCACCATGGCACCAGCGGCAAAGGACAGCCACCAAGAAATGGTCAATGGAGTGGTGGATCTGAGGCACAGAAAAAAAGTTACAACCCCTGAGTCAGCTATTTGGGATAAAAGTTCTGGAGCAGCATTCCTCATCTCTGTGCTGACAAAAGGATAAGAAATTCTACATGGCAAAGAAGGAAACATCCCTAGTATTAATTTTTACTCATGATAAATATGCAATTCCAAATGAGAGCAGCTAAAAACTTACTCTATTATCCACATAAATTGTCTCAGACCGTTTGGCTACAATGAACTTCCTTATCCATTTTCTAAGACAGCTCCTCCACCATTACAAAAAATTTGTCACCCAAAATTAGTGATATGAGAGGGCTCAAATATCTCCCAATAAAGATATTTAGGCACCTGGCAAACAATCTTTTGGTTTGCTACATATAAGACATCAAATCTACACATTATACAAATCTTCAACCCTCACCTGAAATATAGGATGGTTTAAAACACATGGCATAATTTTAAGAGTGAACTTCTGATTCATTAAAGGCCAATCCCCCACAGTGGCCAGTCATTGGGTAAACTAAGGAAAATTATTAAAAAAAAAAAACAAAATTAATAAACAATTTACTATATGACACCTTTAAATCCATAAGCCCAGTCCACACATTATATCAACATTCTTTTACTACCATACCAACTTTTCCATTAGCCTGCAAATACATAAACAAAATATAAGGGAGAGAGGAAAAAAAAGCATTCAACGGGGATAACAAAGATAAAAACTTGAGGAGTCAAAAGATTAACTTACTTGCACATAAATTGCCTTCTTCCTCAATTGCCACCCTACTGCCAAAACGTTCCTGCAGTAATTATAATACCTACCTTTATTTAAGGAATACTAATGGGCCAGGCCCTTTACATTTGTTACTTATATTTAATTCTAAAAAAAAAAAAGAGAAGAAATAACTTGCCCAAAGTCCTACATCTACTAAGTGGTAGAGACCATGCCCTTTCCACTGAGCACTGAAGCCTGCCAAGTCTAAGGATCAGAAAGGCCATGATTCCTGGGGCAGAAGAAATTGAGCTTTACTCTCAAAGGTCCTGAGTTAATTAACATCAGAATGGAGAAGTACAAAAATACCGAAGAATAAATATTTCAGCCTAGCCTAACTAAAATACAACTGAACCAGTTAAACCATCCAGAAAGGGCTATCTCTCCATATCTTGGCACTTAAAAAGGCATTTCCTTAACAGAGGCATGCAATTCTGAGGCTCACAATATTAATGATAAAACACATTATAATGTTCAAGTAAGTCTTTGTGTTTAACATCAAAGACTGTGTCTGTGACAAAGAATCTCAAATCCAGCTGAAACGGAGGAATTCCAAGATTTGTCAATATATAGTCCACAGGCAATAACTAAAGATGTTGATGTATCACATCATAGGTAAAGCAATGGGAGTGACTGAAATACCAGTCTATGATTAGCCTCACCATAACAATCATATGAAAGTATCCTAATACCCACAACTTAAAAGAGCTCACATAAGTAAAATCTCAAGCAAAGAATGAGTGCTCAAGCTTCTCCCATTAAGTGATACTACCCTGAAGCCCAAGAATAAACTGGAAACCCAGTTTTGATATAAGCAGCTAGTGAGCTATGGCTAGTAGCTAACTCCTAAAAGAACACACTCTGCTTTTCAAAATATAACTTACTGCTGTAAACCAAAATGCTGAGCAATTACAGCAAAACACAACCACAATCTGACTAATGGACTCATTTCTGAACCTCTTGAATCACCAAGCCTTTTCCTGTATTACTATGTTAATTTTCTTCTCTTCCCTTCAAATATTTACTGAATGCCTAATTGGTGGCAGGCCTTATGCTAGAGCTACAAAGATTAATAGAAGCCAGACCAGGAGTGTAAAGACTGAGTTCTTCCTGTTCTCTGCCCTTTTTTTTTTTTTTTTTGAGTCTCCCAAGTGATCATTTCACAGAACCAAAATATATTTTATTATTCCAAAACTGGTTAAGCGTTCTCAACTTAACTCTTAAGAAAATAAAAATTAAAAATGACTCAAGTTCCTTTTTCTCAACAGTAAAGCTCTAACTCAATTTTTCTTCTGTGGATCTGAGGCAAGTATTAGAATGGTTTCCTATATTCATTATAATTATTATATTTAGCCATCTCTCTACTCACAGATTTTTTTTTTTTTCATTTTACATGTTAATATCCCATTGTTTCTACTTCACAGCTTTCCATTCTGTGAAGGTCTTCATTGTTGACTAACCCTGAGAGGGAATTTCCTAAAAATGCTTCCTGCTGACATCATAGAACTCTGCAATCTTTGAATTTTGTGAAAACAAAAATAAGATCCAGGTTAGAGATACCGTACTGGACTGTCAGGTCTTCCTGGTTTGTCTCTCATTTGCCTACAAAGACAAACTTCCTGTTAGGCAATTGTGATCAGCAGAACCTTAACTGAGGCTAACAAGCACATTCCTTCCTGACCGACAGGTTTTTTTCCCCCTTTGTCAATTAATTCAATGAATAACGATATAACTCAGGAGGAAATCTTGTATAATACTCACTGCTTATTGTGTTAAAGGTCGAGCTTTGCTAAAACAAGAATAAGAACTCGAAAATCCTAATTTCCTCATCAAAACTAAACCGATCAAACATAATGTTCAATGTTAATACAAACTAATCACCAGTCCCCTTCTACCTTCTACTAAGACAGGGTTGGGTGAGTTCTCTCTGTAGGTAGAGTACAGGTCTAATTATGCCTAATTGGCAATTCTTAGTAATTGTAACACTACTTCCACTTCCCAAATTTCCAAGATAATATGATTTTGTATGATTTCATCATTTCCCCTAAAGATACCTCATTAAACAGAGCTGAAAGCAACTCAATGTCAGGCCTCTGTAAAGCTTCACAAATAAATACATGAACAACTAAGGGGTAAAAATTAAAACACCATCTGCCTTGACTGTGCTTCACAAAACCCAGTCCCTGTACTTATGGGGAAGTTAGTACGGCAAGCAGTTGCTGAGACAAACGTCTGCAACGTGTTTTCACATACATCTCTCCCATAATCCTCCCAACAACTTGGAGCAAAACCTACATTTTCTTATTTTTACGGATAATGAAATCAGAGCACAGAAAGGTTAACTTTCTTAAGGTCACACAGCCAGCAGGTGACAGGGCTAAGATATAAACTCGGGTGCTTCCCTCTAAAGCCCATACCCTTGCTGCTAAATCATGCTTTTCTAAGGTCATAGAATCCTCAGAACTTACTGGCTCTTTGGCAAGTTCACATCAAAAGATATAAAAGGAATTTGGTTTCCTCAATACTTTGCTATCAACCACTCTCTGGGATGTATATAAATCAATCTGCTATGTGTAAGTCTGTAAATAGTGATTTTGAAATGTCTATGGATGTCTGTGTACCACACACCATCCTCCTCTTCTGCTTTATCAGCCTTTTTCCTCTATTCATCTACACCTTTGTCTTAAAGTTATCAAAAGGAAATCTTAAAAACATTTCACAGCATGAAAAAAAGTCACCTCATATTAATTAAGTCAAGGTATCTATTGCACACCCAAGTGCTAAGAATTATGAAGGATTCAAAAGACAATACAGCCTCTGGAAGGGAAATTTAGACACGATCACAGGCTTTTATGATACACAGAAGGGTATGATAAGTCCCATAAGAGTTAGGAATAGATTATTATGAGAATTAATGATACAGGTGAGAATTACCATACAGACAGACAGCAATAATGCACGTCAACAATCAACAGGAAAATTCAATTCAACGTTTACTGAACATGTACCATAAGAAGGCACTGAGAGTTTATCATTCAATAGGGGACACAAACAGGAAACTATAATACGAACCCAGAATATGCTAAGTGCCACCAGATAAATACAAAGTGCCAGAATTCGTTCATTTAACAGTAAACATCATGTAGGCAGTGCTATAAAAACAAAATGGTATGTGCCACCATAATGTAAATTGACATCAAAAGAGTTAGCATCTAAATTGTGTTTTGAGGAGACAATCTCAGTGCAGGTGCAAGAGAGAATTGCTCAGATTTGACCTAAGCCAATTTGGCCAACTATAAGGTCCCTCTAGTAAACATCAGTAGCCTTCAATACATAGACTTAGTCAGTTACTATCAGTGCTGATGGAAAAAATAAAATAGTGTGAGCAAAATCTGAAGAACCCTGGTCCGCTCTTTGGCTGAAATACAGAATAAGTGAGGAATGTGGGAAGAAAAGCTGGGAGTCTCGAATTGAAATTACTAGGACTTGAAATGCTTTCTTTCCCTTAAAGTGTAAATATCACCAGGTGGAACCCAGGAACCTCAGAGTGCAAAACTCATAGGATCAAACAGCACTACTCAGAGGGATGTACAGTTGACCCTTGAACAACATGGGAGATTAAGGACACTGACCCCCACATAACAGAAAATCCGCATATAACTTTTGACTCCCCAGAAACTTAACTACTAAGAGCCTACTGTTGATTGGAAGCCTTATCAATAATATAACCAGGTGACTAACACAGTTTGTATTTTTTATGTATCATATATCGTATTCTTACATGAAGTAAGCTAAAGAAAATACTAAGACAATCATAAAGAATAGAAAATACACTTACAGTACTATCCTATTAAAAAAAAGGTATATAAGTGGATCTACACAGTTCAAACCCATGTCGTTCAAGGGTCAAGTGGCTGTATGTGCTGCTCTGTGAACCTATGTAACGGCCTAGTGATTTTCCTGTGCAAGCGCTCTGTTTTCCCGTTAGAGCAGTCAAGAGCCGGGGTACCAAGACATGTGCACTGGATCATGTTTGTTCTTGTCATTTCTGAAGGGACATCTAACCTACTCCAAACCAGGAGCAAAATTGATATATCTGAGCCACAGCCCCTTGAGGCAGGTAAATGAGTCTATAAATACCTATGTAGTTTATTTCATTCAGATCCTACTTAAACCTTTGTATACTTAATCTGCATTTAGTAAATCAGCACAAGCTTAGGAGTAGATAAGGATAAGTGATAGTGACAAACTAAGATCCAATTTCTTAAGAGTCACTAAATCCTACTTACTCCACTCAGAAAACCAGTGACAGGAAGGGGGGGGGAAATCCAAAAAGAAAAAAGAGAAAAATTTTCCGTAACTTCACTTCTCCTTGGCCTTGTGGCCCGCCTATACTTCAACAGCTCTAAAAACACAACACTGATATCTGACCTTCTTAATAAGGTCCAATGTATTTTACCTGTATTACTAAATTCAACAAGTAATACAGTCACTTAGAGATAACACAAAAGGAAAATGAGTCACTTAAGGTCACTTAGCAAAGAGGGGAAACAACCAACAGCCAGCAATAGAGTATAAACTGTCCATTAATTTGTGTTTGCGGGAGGGGGATGGGCATGCTCTCACACCCATAGAGGAAGCAGGGTTACCTTTCCTAACCTTGAACATCAATTTCTGCTATCTTCTAATAGGGAAAACTTACCATCTTTCTCTTCCAATTAGCAGCTGTGTGAGTGCTTTCTAGTAATGAGGGCCAAACATCAGCTCATATTCCTAATTCAAGCATTGATAAACATCATGTGATACATAATGCAGTTTTCCTTCTTTCCAGTGAAGTCCACTGCAATAGACATAGCCTTGTAAACTTTGTATATTTCCAACTGGATTACTACTTTTCTACCTCATTAATAATAATGCTCATTCTACCAAAGTCAGAAATTTCAAAAACAGTCCCACAAACTAGGTACAATACTGGTCCAAGATAAGGCCATGAAAGTCACTGGGTGGTTAAATTATTTACCATCAGCAATTATAAATTCAGTTGTCTCAATCAAGAGTTTATAGTCTATATTCAAGACTGAACCCTATGAGGTGGGTCAACTGGAGAAGCACTCTTTGTGCACCCGGCCTGAGGCAGAGGTAGGAGTCACAAAGGGAGTGGGGAGGGCATATTTTGGAGATTTAATTATTAGGCTATCACCAGCTTTATTTCTTAGTAAGCTAAAAAAAAAAAGTACAAGGAAAAAAAAGAAAAAGAATCAAATCAGAGGAAGTGGAAGGATGAAGATTAACAAATTGGAGATAATCAAAAAGCCTATTTCCTGTCTTTAATATAGCTCTCTCTGGAATATCAAATGAAAGTTACCCTGTTAACCATTAAATACCAAACTGATACAGGTAGCACAATCACAAATATTTGAGTAGTGAAGCTGACTCATAAAAATCTAAAAATATTTCATGCTTAAGGCTTTCAACATACCATCAGTTTATCCCATTCCTCTCTCTCAATTATGTTATTTTGAAACCAATGTAAAAAGTATTTTTAACCTAGTTTTGGAAACTGTAATTAAAATGCAGTGAATACAGAGAGCCACATGCAATTAGATTTTAAGGCATTATCATTCCTACATTCAATCCTGGATTTACTAAATCAGTTGTTAAATACCTGTGCTATCTACTACACTAAAATAAATACATATACGGTTATGAAAAGGGTTGCCTAAGAGTCTTAACTGGGTATCCCTTTGAGAGAATATCAAAATCCGAATATGAAAACCCGTTTCAAAACTGATCTCTTTGTTAAATTTTCTGAGAATCTCCGTTTATAATGTCCTTGAAAGGCTGAAATATCTTTTCAGATCATAAACAAGTAAACTCATGTACAATCAAAACTTTTTTAAAGTTATGAGCATGGGAAACCAATAAATTTAGGCCAGAGATTTTTTTTTTTACCATACAATCAAAAATACTAAATGAATTACATTGTATTTCTTCTAATTCTTTTGAAAATAAAGACATTTTATTTTTTAAAAGAATGGAAATGGAAGGAGCACAGAACAGCCAATTTCAGAGGCACCAAGTTACAACTTTTCAATGTGAAGTACTCCTCCAGTTGCGAGGACATGTATTGTAGATCTGTAAAAATATGTACTATATATGGAATTCCAATAAGAGATTTTACCAAAATAACCCACTACAAAATTTCTAGAAACATCAAAGGCTTCGCTACAATAAGTTTGATAAATTATACTGAAAAGGAAAAATTACTTAATAATGAAAAGCAAATAAAAACTCACACGACAATATCCTTTAAAAAGCAAGCACATATGTCTGCACACAAAGCAGAAACGACCAAAGCTTTTTTTTTTTCTAGTTTTATAAGAATACTGGAGAAGTCTAGTTCTGTGGATTATGCAAAGGACAGCAAATATTAAGCTGTGTGTTTATGCTACTGTACTTCCATTTTTAAAACATGCATCTCAACTCCCCAGATACCATCATCCACAGAAACCATGCAGCTATCCAACAGACTTTCAGTGTCACCATTTATTATTTATAGCATTAAATGGGGGAAGTGGCTCTGATGTCACCGACCCTACCCAGTGGAATCACTGACTCAATAAACATTTTCACACTGGAGAAATCTGGCTAGGAAAACATTTTGCTGGGTTAAGTAGATTCTTTCACCTTTCCTCTCAACCCAGGGGTAGAGGCTGTTACTGTGTTAGGAGAGATACAAAGAAACTGTCAAGGTTTCCACAGGAAGAAACCCTGGGCATGTCCATTTGCTGAGGTAAAGACTTCTCCCAACTCTCCAGAGCCCAGTTTGATTTCCCCAACGCTCAAATTGGCAGGTAATAGCTGCCATGTTTCTTTTCTTCCACCAAATCATCCACCAAGCAGCAAATTCTTCGCTTCTACTAGCCACTCTTTGATAGTTCTGTTTCTAAAAACCCCTTCTGGCTCCAAGTCGTAAAACGGAAAGCGGTTGGGGTATCCGTAGGACCGGGGAGTCTGGCATGGCTACCAATGGTTTGTAATAGAAGAGTGATCGCTTCCCCAGGGGCCTAGGATTCTCCCCCCCCCCCTTTTTTTTTAATAAGAAAGAACTGACGGCAGTGATGAGAAGAAGCTCCCCTCCCCCATCTTCCCAAAGCAACGCTGGGAAACACGAAGTTACGGTTTCCCTTTCCTGGGAGATGGAATCCAGAGTACCTGGGGCCTTGCTATGCAAACATCCCTCACCGCGGAGTAGGAAACCCTTTGTCCGAGAAGCCGGACACCACAGGGGCCCGGGAAAGAGGCCCCTTATCCGTCACAGCCTCAAACCCCAGAGCTCCCCACCTCCACCCCTGTAGGGCCTATCCCGGAATCCACACACCCCTACGCTGAGGAGAAGGTGCTGAGACCCCTACTAGGATGCGGAGACCGAGGCCCTGATCGATCTCCTCCGTACCGCCCCCCCCCCCCCATCTCATTCGGCCTGAGTGGGGCTTCCAAGAGCGGTGCAGGCCTGGGCCGGAGAAATTCAGGGGGGAAATCCCCTTCTAAGAGAAGGAGAATGAGATGCTAGAGCGAGTGTGAGCTAAGGCCACAACATAATCGAGCGAGGGTCCTTCGAGAGATGGGCCCGGATATAGGACAGAGGGAGGAAGGAGAACCGAGGAGCATGGAGGGGGCCGGGCCAGGTCTGGCCTGAGATCTCCAGAGATCCGGAGCAACCGCGCCGGCCCCGAGGCCAGGAAAGCGGGGGCCCAGGTCCCGGCCAAGGCGGCGGGGAAGGGCCAGGGCCCGCCTCGCGCCGGACGTTGAGGTGGGCAGGCCCGCCCGGGGCCGGACGGACGGAAGAACGGTCCAGCGGGCCGCACTCACCATGAGCTCGATGGTCTTGTCCTCAATCACCGAGTCGGGCTCCATGGCGGCCCCGGCGGCCCCGCCTCGCTCTCCCCGCGCAGCAGCGAACGGCCCGGGCGGAGGAGGCGACGGCGGAGGCGGCAGAAGCGGAGGCGGCTACCGTTCCCACTCTAGCTGCCAGCCCGCCCGGGCCGCCGGCAGCTCCACCCTCCCCCTCGGCGAACGCAGTACGCAGACCGAGGACTACAGCTCCCAGCAGGCGCCGGGGGCCCCGCAGAGCGTTGTGGGAACGAGAAGTCAACACCAAGCTACTCTCTCTTGGCAGTCCGAAGCTGAATTCTGAGCAAAAGTAGCACTGGACTGTGACTGTGGGACGTGCAAACCTAAAGAATTAAGGTCTCCCTCAAAATAGGGCCTCGGGAACTCCACGACTACATGTCCCGGAAAGCCCTGCGCGCGGGTTCTCCTTCCGGCTAGTTTCTCCTGACTTCCTGGCAGCCCCAGGCGACTGAGACCGGGACGGAAACTCAGAGGTAACTCTTCACTCGTCAGAGATCCTGAGTGTGAGACGGATTTCCGCACATGCGCAGTCGATGCCGCAGTGCCTAGTCGACGTCTAGGTAGCGGCGCTGCTGGTCCGTGAGCGTCTGGTGCTAGGGACAGATGATGAAGACAGGTGGGTTCTAGATGCGTTAGGAGGACTTGGGGCTCAGGTGTGGGAGGGGCAACAAGCGAGAGAAGCTCGGGCAAGGGAGAGGCTCTGCGAGTATGGGCATCCCAGAAGTGAGGGGTTTGGAAATTTCGTTGGGGAAAGTGGGTTTATGGAGATGAACTGTGGTGCTGTCTGTACGCACCACGAACTGGGAGGAGCTGAGAGATGAAAGGGAACCTGTGTATATTGAGCCCCTCTTATTCATTCGTTAAGAAAATATTTATTTTTTAAACTTCCAATCTCTGCCAGGTACCAGCCTAGGCACTGGGAATCAGCTCCGATTCTAGTGGTGGGAAAACAGACATTAACCAAAAGAGTAGGCGCTAAGAAGGACTGCAGCTGGAGACTCCTAGTGAATTCTGCCTTCAGCTGTGTGTGAACTTTGCCAGGTCTATTAGTGCCCGCTAACCAAAGACCACCAGGTACGTACTGATTGAACAAGTTGAGTTTATTACTGGTTGCAATGACGAAGAATACCCACCATGAGAAATTATAGGCGTCTCGGTAAGAGTTGTTACGTGTTTTGGGAGAGGGTTTAAGGAAATGGGGCTTTACTCTGGATTAGATGCTGTCAGGAAGTGGGGGTGATTCTATGATTGAGCATCTCAATCATGCCTGGAACAAGGGACCAGTAGATTGAAGTTGAAGCTGCAATTGCTAAAGAAGCAGGAACCCCTCGTCAGGATGGGGGATGTTCGGTCATTTTTTAGGTTTGGACATTGTTCGTGACTTATCTGCGTTCAAATATAATTAAGGAGTGATCTTGTTTCTGTCTTGATCTATCCACAGTCAGAGAATGGCCCCATCTGATGTTTACATTCTGTGAAATTCTGTTCAACAGGAGAGCACAAGGCCTACCTAAGAGGGCCATCTATCATCTAGTAACATTACAGCCTGGATAATTGTACCAGGCCAGCTTCCAAATATCAGAGGCTGCTTTTCTTTTTCTCTAGTGTTTTGAATTCTCTGCACCTGTCAAGTGAGGGGACTTAATGACCTAGAAATCTTTCCATTTCTAAGGATCCAAGTTATTACAGTAATTTGTATGCATGCAGGGCACAGTGTAAGTTCCATGCCAGTAGAGTTTGAAGTTTCGTAGTCCTTATCTGGTGCTTTCCACCAAAAGAATTAAAAGAAAAGCAATAGGAAGAAAAAGCACAGAATTAGAAAGTTATTGCCACTAACTTGCTGTCTGAATTTCACAAGGCCCCTTCCCCTGCCTGGGCCTTGGTTAGTAAAACAGGAGTTAGAATAAATGACCTCTTGTTTCAGTTATATGGTGTCTCATAATAAGCCATGCCCAAGACTGAGTAGCTTAAAATAACAGTGGTTTATTTTTACAACTGTGTGGGTTGACTGAACACAGCTGGGCCCACATAGTATACTGAGGTTACTCATGAGACTGCAATCAGCTGGGAGCTCGTCAAAATGGCTTCTCATCCTCCAGGGCCTCTCTTCACCTGGTGTCTTATTCACCATGCTTCTGCATGGTGACTAGCTTCCAAGAAGACAAGCCCCAATGAGCAAATGATTATCAAGCCTTCAGTCGCACCATGCTTCCTAATGTCCCATTGGCCAAAGCAAGTCATACAACCAAGCCCAGAGTCCATGTAGAAAGGGACTATGCAAGGTTGTGAATGCCGAGAGTCAAGGTTCATTGAGGACTACTAATGTAACAGCCATCCAAGACCCCTGAGGTACCAGCATTTGCCACAGGACCTAGCACATAGGGTTAGGGTAGGAGTCACAAGCTGAATTCCTCAATATGTATGTTTACCCTACAGCATTTTTATTGTTTTAAAATTTGACATTTTCACATTTTAAAGTCTGAATTTCCATCTTCTCTTGAAAACTCAGACTCTCTGGCTTTTTGGCTATGTGTGGCAACAATATTCAGGGGTTAAGTAGCAACTGCCTTTTTTACATGAAGCATGTGCTCTATAGATTTCTCCTGTCCCCATTGCTCCCTGTTGTCTTATATCTGCATGCTCCACTCACTTAATTTGTATGCCTAACCCATAGAGAGATTTGAATTTGCAATCCCTGCTGTTAGAACTGTAATGGAGATAACTCAAGGTTTCTGTCCTTTTATTAAAACCATATCCCACCATAAGAGGAAAAAATACTTTTAGGTCAAATTCCAGGAGCTCAATGTGATTAAAAAGTCATATATTGATAGAAGCTTTACCCAAGCTATATGAGAGGCAAGCTGAGCCAAGTCTTATTACTTATGTCAGACAAGAACTCAGGTTCTCAGGTATTTTAACTGCTTCAGGCTGGAAGCCAACTGGTGATTAGATTTGGTCATCACTAAAGGCAGAAGTCCTTGAGTCATATTTCCCCCAGTTTTTCAGATAGCTCTGCTCTGGGGTTTACAAGACCCACTAACAGCAAAGTGGTCAGGTCCACAATCCCTTAACGGAAACCCTGAGGTCCGAAACATATTCAGAATTCAGAATTGCTTAGATTGTACAAAGACAGTATGATAAACATACTGTAAATATAATGAAACACACTTAGTGGAGTCTTGGAGAGCACTTGATAATCAAGCACATTAACTTTTGTGCCTCAGACCGTATGTTTGCCGTTACCAATTTATAGCCTCTCAGTTCCAAACTCCATTCTTCTTTTACATACTTTGGAATACTGGAGTCCAACTAGGACCCTGTGAATGTTTCTTCTCTGCCAGCTGGCACAACACTTAATTTTGTCAATAGAGAGCCCTAGAGGAACACAGGCAAATGAAGGATCTTCTCTTCCTAGTTCTAGTATACTTTATTTTCCTTCTTGCTTTTGTGGTGTACAAAAGCAAATGGTTTGCAGAACCATACCTCCCTCCCCCCGCCCCCAACATACACACACACAGGTGGCGAGGACATTCAGAGGGTGGCTTCCCAGTGAATTCAGTGACACTTCAGGGGGCAGTTTCCTGCCTGCCAGACGCGACCTGTAGCACCTCAGCAAACTTCAACCATCCAATGGCCCATAACTAACCTCTCCCCAGTGAGGTCTGAATCTCAGCCTAGCAGTGGGGGTGGGAGGGCTCTTCCAAGTTTGTTTCTTCCTTTGGTACTCTGCCTCAGCCCTAAAGGTAGTGCTTGCTCCCTATAACCGCTGTTTCTGTATTTAGCGTTGTCTTTGCCCCTTAGTGCTTAATACCCTGTTACTAGTTAATAGTTCTTTCTGCTTTTTGTTTCTTTTGTTTTTTATTTTTTATTTATTTTTTTTAAAGATTTTATTTATTTATTTGACAGAGAGAGACACAGCGAGAGAGGGAACACAAGCAGGGGGAGTGGGAGAGAGAGAAGCAGGCTTCCCGCCGAGCAAGGAGCCCGATGCAGGGCTCGATCCCAGGACACTGGGCAGACGCTTAACGACTGAGCCACCCAGGCACCCCCTTTTGTTTTTTAGATTCCACATATAAGTGAAATCATATGGTATTTGTCTTTCTCTGACTTATTTCACTTAGCATAATACCCTCTAGGTCCATCCATGTTTTCCCAAATGGCAAGATCCCATTCTTTTTTGTGGCTGAGTAATATTCCATTGTATATGTATACCACATCTTCTTTATCCATTCCTCTATCAATGGACTTGTAGTTGCTTCCATATTTTGGCTTTTGTAAATGCTACGATAAACATAGCAGTTCATGTATCTTTTCAGATTAGTATTTCCGTTTTCTGTGGGCAGATACCCAATAGTGGAGTATTGGATCATATGGTATTTCTATTTTTACTTTTTGAGGAACCTTAATACTGTTTCCCACTGTGGCTACACCAATTTACATTCCCATCAAGAGTGTAAGCGGGTTCCTTTTCCTCCACATCCTCACCAACACTTGTCATTTCTCTTTTTGATACTAGTCATTCTGACAGGTATAAGATGACATGTCATTGTGGTTTTGACTTGCATTTCCTTGATGATTAATGATGTTGAGCATCTTTTCACGGATCTGTTAGCCATCTGTATGTCTTCTGTGGAAAAAATGTCTATTCAGGTTCTCCACCCATTTTTTTAATCAAATTTTTTTGGTGTTGAGTTGCTTATTTCTATAGTTTGGATATTAACCCCTTATTGGACATATCATTTGCAAATATCTTCTCCCATTCAGTAGGTTGCCTTTTCATTTTGTTGATGATTTCCTCTTGATACGCAAAAGCTTTTTATTTTGGTATAATCCTAATATTGTATTTTTGCTTTTGTTTCCTTTGCCTGAGGAGACATATCTAGAAAAATGTTGCTAAGATTGATGTCAGAGAAGGTACTGCCTATATATATTTTCTTCTAGGAGCTTTATGGCTTCAGATCTCACATTCAGGTCTTTAATCCATTTTGAGTTTATTTTTGTGTATGGTGTAAGAAAGTGGTCCAGTATCATTAGTTTGCATGTTGCTGTCCAGTTTTCCCAACACCATTTATTGGAGACTGTCTTTTCCCCATTGTATATTCTTTCCTCCTTTGTCATAGATTAATTGCATGTAAGTGTAGGCTTTTATCTTGTCTCTTTATTCTGATTCATTGATCTTTGTGTCTGTCTTTGTGTCAGTACCATACTGTTTCAATTATTAAAGCTTTGTAATATAAACAATAATTCTTTATATCAAATTTTCCCAAAAAAGAATATGGCAGATGTGAGGGTATGTGACTTTCAAAACTAGATCATGAGGTGTTGTGGCATCCTCCTAGCTTTCTCTTGGATTACTCTCTCGGTGGGGGGAGGCAAGCTGCCATGTCATGAGGATACTCAAGCAGCCCTGTGGAGCTGTCCACCTGGTAAGGAACTGAGGCCACCTACCAAAACCCACACTGTCTTGCCAGGCCTGTGAGAGGGTCACCTTAGAAGTGGCTCCTCTTGCCCCATTCAGTCCTTCAGATGACTGTAGCCCCATTCGACATCTTGATCTTATGAGAGACCCTGAGCCAGAACCAATGGTCTATGTCATTTGTGGATCCCTGACCCACAGAGACTTAGGAGATAATGAATATTTGTTATTTTAAGCTGTTAGATTTTGAGTTAATTTGTTACACAGAAATAGATAACTAATAGAGATGCACAAAGAGAGAGCAAGTGAGCTAGTTCAACATATTGGACTCAGTGAACTCTCTTTTACTCAAAGCACCATAAACCCTTGGTAGGGCTTTAGGTCTTTCCCTTTCTTTTGAATACTGTTGAAGGTAAAGACTGGCATTTTAAAATGGTGTATTTGACCTCTAATGGGTTTTTTGAATTCAGATACATTATAGAGTGGGATAGTGCACTGAAATTTTCTTAAGTTTTTTTTTTTTTTTTTTAAGTAAACTGTGCCCAACATGGGGCTCAGACTCACAACCCCAAGATCAAAAGTTACATGCTACACCAACTGAGCCAGCCAGGCGCCTCCACTTTTTAAAATATTGTTATTTGCCTTTTTTTTTTTTTTT